AATCCTTCATCTTAAACTCATTACTTAACATAGCTTTAAGAGCATCGGTATTAGTCTTGCTCTTAGCTACAATTAGCATGTCATCCACATACAACAACAAATATATATAGGAACCATCTAATAGCTTCATGCTATAAACATAATTATCAAACTCATTTTGGACAAAACTATAGGAAATCATAAAAGCATCAAACTTCTTGTACCACATGCTCTTTTCCAGCCCAATGAATCTATCTGGCTATGACATGTAAATATGCTCTTCTAAATTTCCATGCAAGAATGCAATTTTCCCGTCAAGCTGCTCTAACTCCATATCCAAAGCACTCACCACATCCAAAGCACTCACTACAACCAACAGAACTTGAATAGTCTTGTGTTTTACCACAGGCGAGAACACTTCATGGTAATCAATTCCCTCTTTATGTGGAAAAACCCTTTGCCACAAGTCTTACCTAGAACCTGGATGGTTCAACACCAAGAATCCCTTATTTCTTTTTTAACACCCATTTGCATCCCATTGGCTTCACACCTTAGGTTAGTGACGGATCCAGAAATTCTAGATAGTGGGGACAATACTTATTTATATATTTGTAATATTAAAAATTTTACATATAACTTTTAAAAGCATAAAATATATTATAATTATTTTTTACAAGGTTTTATATTTATATTTACGATTAAGGATGAAAATAAATTATGTCAGACTATGTTATATTATAATTTAATAGGTTTAGACCTAACTTTTTTTTAAAAATACATATATTAAATATGACATATTTATCTATCACAGATATTTTTTAAATATTTAGTTAGAACTACAATCTTAATGACCTACTTTATAATAATTTAACACTAATAAAAACATAAAAATAAATATGTTAAATTTTACAAAAATCAAGTTTAATTTATTTATGATACAAATATATTTTTAATATGTGATATAAATTTTTAGATGATACTTTATTTTAAAACATTTTATAATAAAATTTTAAATAGAACATAAAACTTCAAATCTTTCCTATTTTGATTTTTTTGATCAACATATACAATAAATAAAAAGTACAAAATATAAACATGCATGTTGCAAATTTTATTTTATCAAAAATTAATTTTTTTAATATATTATATTATATATGTGAATATTAATATATATATATATATATAT